GAGAGTGTCGCTCTGTAGAAATGCCATTATGGTGGGTGGTGGGGTTTCCTTGTGAGAAGGTGCAGATTAGTGGAAATGGTTTTCCCTAATCGCGAGGTGGGGGGTGGGTTTGCGGGGTCTTTGACCCCTACCGCACGGGAGGTAAGGTATTACCGCTGAGACGTTGAATTTGGGTCAGGTATTCATTTCATCTTTATAGGCTGATGTCCTGCTGTCATCTGAATTCTTGAGGTAGAATGGTGAGCATTGCTCCACTGGGGTTCCATCATGGAGGGCAGGGAAGCATCCGTAGGGGGTGTATGCAGAATTGAGGGAGGGGCTTACCCTAAATCGCGAGAAGGTGGGTGAGTTTTGCGGGGCTTTTTGGCCCCTGCGGTGCGGGAGGTGGGGTAATGCCCTGGTTAGTGAAAACAACATCGTGGTGGGAGTTGGTGTTTTTGTATGAAGAGTGTGGGAAGGTGCTATCCACTTTGAATTGCGAGGAGGTGGGCGGGTTTGCAGGGTCTCTGTCAGCAGTTTGGGGCCTGTGGGCAAGGACCCCTGCCGCGCTGACGGCTGGTTCTTTTCTGTGGTTTTGATTACCTTTTGCGTATGGTTTTCTTTTCATGGTTGGTGGAATTTGGGTCACGAAATTAGGGTTGTTACGACTGTTGTGATTAGAGTTTTTTGGTGATGAACTTAGATTTCGCTGATAATTTTCGTTGATTTTTCAGTGGTAGGGGCTGTGGAGTTGGTTGTGTAGTTGACTGTGGGGTGAAATCTAGTGGTGCCCTCCATGTGCTTGGCCGGTGATGCCTTGCCCCTTGAGGGCCCCACCTAATATTGTAAGGGATGCTGGGCCCGGTTCCCGGCTTTTATAAAGACTTGTATTCTTTCAAAAAAAAAAAAAAAAAAAAAAATTGCCCTGCTGGTTCAGGTATTTCGTCCACAGGATGCTGACTTGCTTGGTATTGGGACCATTAGGGAAATTCCATCTTTTCCCCCTCTTTTTTTTTTTTCCTCCTTTTTTTTTTTCCCTCCTTTTTTCGACGGCCTTGAGATATCATCGGGTTACACACAAAAAAAAAAAAAAAACATATCATCGCCGAGCTGACCGGCCCCAGGCCCCCAGCAGGTGGTTCAGGTATTTCGTTCATGTAGTCGAAGTTGGATTTCATGGGTGTACCAACCGGGGGCTAGGCCCGTTGGTCCTCTCCGTCTATTCCATATCTCCGTCTGTTTTTCCGTTTCTGTATTCTCTCTGTGGCTTTTGGAGGATACTACTGCTACTACTAGTTTGTTATGGAGTACAGCCCCGACTATCCCTTCTCAACGGAATTTGGGCCTCGCTCAACTGCACAACATTCTAAATGTATGCCAGCATATATGGGTCCCTCTTTGGATCAGTCTGTTCTGTATCTGGTCCACATCATCAGTGTTCGGATACATGTAGGACGTTGAGTAGTGGAGCAAGGCTGTTTGTGTTCAAGGCGGCAGGCTGCTCTTCCTGTCAATTTGTGCCAAAGGCTTCTTCTTGGCTTGTTTGTCAAACACTGCCTAATCTTATGATAATCTGAGTAACCCGCGACCTGCTTGTGAACAGTTACACGTTAAGTGCCATTCACTTACAAGTTACAGCCACATGGGATGGTAAAAGGCTTTGGGCCTAGCTCCACAGCCTGCGCTACTCACGGCATACACAAGCGACAAAAATCATGGCGGCGTATTTTTTGCAAGTTCTAGCGGAAGATTCTCTCTCGTTGTCCACATGTCGAGAGTAGAGGAGCGAGGCGCTTTCAGAGCAAAAAAAAAACGAAAAGAGGAAAAATTAAAGAATCCTATCAACAAACGTACAAGGAACTAAATGCTATGTGGTGCTTGTTGCTTTTGCGAACCATGCTGTGCGTGACAGGTCGAAGAGGAGCAAGCGAAAGAAGAGGAGGACGAGGAGGACGAGGAGGAAGAGAAAGGAGAGGCGGACGAGGAGGACGAGTTGGAAGAGGAGGAAGAGTAGAAGAGGCTGCTTAATTGCCTTCCTTCAGGACCTTCACCTGCTGCTCACCGCGCTCGAGTTCCGTTCGCCGAAGTCGCTGTTAAGAGAATGCCCTTCATGCTCGCGATCATGTGCGTTGCTTCCTCATTGCCTCAATCTCTTTTGCAGCTGTCGGATGTACAGTGTGGACGTAGACGACGGCTCCCTGATTTGCAGCAGTCCGAGATAAACAAGTGTCTATGTCAGGGTCTCTTACAGTGTTAGTCTGCACGACTCTGCAGGCTCCAGGCTCAGTCGGGGAAAGCCTGTCTCGGACAGTGTCTGTCTCCGTCAGGGTCTCTTGCAGTGTCAGTCTGCACGACTCTGCAGACTCCAGACTCAGTCGGGGAAGGCCTGTCTCTGACAGTGCCTGTCTGGGGGCTCCATGGTCAGTCGTCGAAAGACCGTCTTTGACAGTCACAGTGTCCGTCTGCAGGCTACAGGCTCAGTCTCTGACAGTGTGTCCCCGGCGTCTGCTGGCTACATCTTCGCATGCCGATCGCGACAGCATATAAGGCCAACGTCGCTGGCAATGTAGTCGAGGCACGGTTGCGACGGCAGACTCCACAAATCGCTTCGGAATCGCGACAGCTGTTCTTCTTGGAAGCAGGAAAATGCAAACCAATCACCAATTGAGGCTCGGAGCGGCATTCGGGAGGCTCGGAGCTGCCCCTCACTGCTGCGCACTTCCCTCCTTTCAACACGAAGGAGCGACGGACGCCTACGCAGGCTCGCCAGCGCTTTGAATAGGTGGATGTCACTCGTTGATGCATGCGTTTATGTGGGAATTGCTGCAGAGATGCTGACAAGTGGCTTTGTCGAATAGCGGAGGAAGTGGAAGTTGTGGAACAAGGGACTGCGCCTCAGGTTGTGTGCGCAGAAGACGGATAAGACTGACTCGTGAACCGCGCCGTCACATACGGGTGATGATGGTGTGCTTGCTCAAGTGTTTATCGGCCAGACGAAGAAAAGGGAACCACAATCTACGCACGCGCAGCAGTGGTGTTCTGTGGCATTGCGAGAAGATTGAAATTCGCCGAATGCACCGAATCGCATGATGAGTTGGTTGAAGAGGATTCTGAGAGTGGGGAATTGACTGGATAGGAGTCTTGTGAAGTGTAGTCGCCCAATGTTAATTAGTAGTTGGATCACAAACATCCCGTTGATCCAGACACTGTATCTAAATCCCGAGTACAAGAATTTCGACTCTGAACATTCCTGCTATAGAAAATGTTTGACTATGGTATAGGAATTCCTGTGTATAGTACAGAAATCCGGTCTGCAGTATAGAAATCCGGTCTATGGTACATAAATCCTAGCTATCCTTCCTATTTTATACAGATCGTAGCTATGGCTAGAGGAATCCGAGCTTTGGCTATACAAATCCGGGCTATGGCTATGGAGATCCTGGCAACAGTTTAGAGATCCGGCTATGTCTTGGACTCTTGGCTAACCTGCCTGTGGTATAGAACTTCTGGCTATGGCTATAGGAATCCGGTCTATAGGCTATATAGGTAGTACGGTCGTAGAAATCCGGTCTAGCATCGTCTAGAAATCTTGGCTATCCTGGCTGAGGTATAAATCTTCTGGCTATGGCTATAGGAATCTGGGGTATGGCTATAGACATCCTGGCTATGGCTACTGAAATCCTGTCTATTGCTATAGAAATCCCGGCTTTTATGGCTGTATGAATCCTGAGCATGGTATAGACGAAGACCCAAGAATACCAAACAAGTGATCCTTTCCATGCTATAGACATCCGGGCTATAGAAATCCTGGCTATAGAAATCCTGGCTATGCGAGGGAATAACAATCCGAAGAAATTGGCTATAGAGAAGACAATAGACAATAGGAGCACTGTTTTAGAAGCTAGAAACTCTCCGGCTTTGAAACGGGAGTTCGAACATGATCTGTGTTAGAACTTAGAAATCCGTCCTATAAAGGAAAGATCTGTGCCGGGGGGAAGAAAAGGGGGGGAACTGGGGGGGAGAGAGGGTGTTAGGCATTGAGATGACGAAGAATCGTTGAAGAGAGATATTGATAGGTTAAAGAAACTCTCCGGCGAGCTAGTGCCAAACTGACCGTCCGATGAAGTAGAAGAACTAATATGCCAGAGGTAGGGGCTCAGTTGAGGTGAGGGTGAGGGTGGGATTTTGCTATTGCTTTTTGCTTTACTTATTATTGGTCAGTAATAAAAAAAGGTTAGCCTTAATATAGGTATGTTGCGAAATAAACCGTTGGAAGGGTTTCGCCCACCTGCCTGCCTTGTTGTTTATTATTAAAATGGAATTAGAGTATTTCTCTTGGAGTTGTTTTTCTTGTATTCTCCCTTCAGTTCAAGCCGAAGTATTATGTTGAGCTATACTCACGTAGGTGTACAAACAAATCTGCAGAGAGATGACTTGTCCCACGTGACAGTCGCCTACCTGCTTCTCCCATTCAGGTTTGATTACTGTGTGGATTTCTCCACCGCCAGACATCACATTCTGCTGCGTAGATTGACACAGGCCATCTCTGAGAGGGGAACGCCGTTTCCGGCCGTGGCTGGGGTGGCGCTGGAAGAGCGACTGGGCTGTCACCCCGCTGTGTGCCCCGCCTATTGACTGAGTCATTTCATGGACTTCAACTTCCTCGATTTGCATACACACGAGAGAGAGAGAGAGAGAGAGAGAGAGAGAGAGAGAGAGAGAGAGAGAGAGAGAGAGAGAGAGAGAGAGAGAGAGAGATTAAAACTGGCAAAGGCAGCCGGTGTAGTCTGCGATCGCAAGCGAGGGGGAGTTGTTGACACGTGGGCTGGGTCCTAGTGTACGATCTCTAGCGAATTTCCTGGGGAGCGCGAGATCTGCGGCTTTGAATTGTGGTTTTGCACACTGTTTGGACAGCCCGGGGCGATCCGTCACTCCGTCCTTCGCGAGCACATACAGAGAGTCGACACACTCAGCGCGTGGGACTCAACTCCGAGCGTGGGCCGGACGCACAGGTCGGGCACGCAAGCAATTGCCAGGCAGCTGGCAAGGACATAAATAGAAAGGAAGAAAGGCAGGAAGGGCAACAGAAATGGGCAGCTTCGAGGTGTGGGCGACCATCGTAGCTTCTTTCCTGATCGAGCCAGTGCGGACGAAGGTTGCTGATCTCTTGCGCGATTACAGGTACATGAAAGATGAGTGCAACAAAGTTGACGAGGCTCTAGATCGCCTGGGCCCGGTGTTGAAGCTGTTGCAAGGGGAGGAGAGGAGGGTGGTAGGTGATTCTCTCTCCTCCACTCGATGCAAGGGGCTCGTGGAAGACTTCAAGAACTGCATGTGGGAAGACCTTGAGGACTGTCATTCTCTCCTGATCGACGCCGAGAGATGCGCGCAGAGCGCCCTCGGAAGATGGAGAGCTACGGGAAAGATGCGCAAGGCAGCGGATAAGTTGTCCGCCCTGCTGGAGTCTGCCACGTGGAAGCAGCTGCTGCGTGATAGACAGGCCAATCAAGCTGCAGAGGAGCAGAATGTGGCCAATTCGGACTCGGAAGTGGAATCGGCCCCTCCCACGATCACGCTCCGAGCGGACGGCAAGCTATGTGGCGACGACGACGACGCTGCTGATGACAACGGCAACCGTCGCCCACTGTTCCGATCAGACCCTCCTGCCCATGCAAGTTCGGCGGCAAAGGGTTGTGCGGAGAGTGGCTGTGGGAGGGGAAATGGAGAAGAAAGCTTCCCACCAAAACAACAACAACAACAACAACAACAACGAGGAGCACGACGACGAAGAGGAGGAAGAGGAGGAGGAGGAGGAGAAGATGAAGTAGGGACGACGGAAGCGTGTAAACAGAGCAGAGAAGCAGAGACGACCAATTGGTCGGAGGTGTCGAAGGAGTCTCCCGCGAAGATCAAGATCGTGGATGGCCGGCCCCACGTGGGCGAACGCCTGTTCGGCATTTCCAAGCAGATCGAGATGATCGCAAAGGAGCTGGTGGATAGCGACAATGGAGGGAAGGTTGTGTGCATCTTGGGCCCGCAGTTGCATCAGCAGACCGCCTCCCCATCACCTTGTCCTCGGGGGCAGCTTGAAGCAGCAATGGCGGAAACCACCACGATGAGCACGACGACGGCGACGACGACGACGACGACGACGTGGACGTCGACGACTATGGGAAAGGGATCGAAGCCTGGTGCTGACCTGGTGGATGACACGGAGGACAGCCCCAAATCGGGCGCGCAGAAGGACAGGTGGGTAAGGGAGGTGAAGAAATGGGAGGGGATTGACAGCTCCGGGGGCTTGTCGGTGGAGAGCGAGGGGGCAGCAACAGTGACTGTGGGCGCCATGGGAGCGGCCGGTGTGGGGAAGTCGACGGTGGCACGCAATGTTGTGAAAATGCCAGCGGTGCACAGCTACTTCGACGACGGCGTATTTTGGCTAAGTATCGGCCAACAGGGAGACATCCTCAGCCTTCAACGAACCCTCTGGAGAGACTTATGCAAGTCCGACAGAGTGTTCATTCCCTTCGAGGAGGAGGACGACGGCATGCACAGATTGGAGAGGAAACTGCGAGGCAAGCGAGTGTTGCTGGTGCTCGACGACGTGTGGACGTACAAGCAGCTGGAGCTGCTGTCGGTAGTGGATATGGCGGCCGGCAGCAGGATCCTTCTCACCACGAGGAACGAGGAGGTGCTGTTCAAGAAGTGCGGCGAGAGCCTCCTGATCGTCCATCGACTGCAGCTGCTGCACGATGACGTGGGCATGCAACTCTTCTGCTGGGAGGCCTTCGGCAAGGAAGGAGCCCCCATGGGCGACAGGAGGGCGAAGTTGGCGATGTCCGTGTGCCGGATGTGCGGCGGGCTGCCCCTGGCGCTGAAGATGGCGGGTCGGTCTCTGAGGAATGCTGACCTTGACAAGTGGGAGTGGACCTCCAGGCTGCTGCGAGAGGCGAAGCGCACTGAGGTGAGGGTCCGCATCTTCCGAGACGACGTCCGCTTGATGGCCATCTTGACTTGCATGCTGGACTCTCTCGATCGGCTGGACATGCGCCTTCGGTTTCTCTTCCTCGATGTGGCCGCCTTCCCCGAGCACTACGCCATCCCCGTGAGGACGGTGCTGCGCATGTGGGCCGTCGACCCGTTCGTCGGATCCATAGAAGAGGCTGCGAGGTTGCTGTGGCTGCTGGCAGAGCGCGCTATCATCCGGCTGCACGAAGGACGAATCGGAGGCCCGGGAGGCGACGAGTGGCCGGCAGCAGTTCTGCATCACGACAGGGCTGGCTGTAGCTGCACGGAGTGCAACGAGCTGTCCCCTCCGCCGCCCAACGGTTCTCAGACGCCGCGCAGCGTAGCCGCCGTTGGATCGAGCCCTCCCTGCACCGCTTGGCGCGCAAGCCGATCCCAATCCCTGACCTTTTCGGTGCACAACGCAGTTCGGCACCTGGCCCTTTCGGAGATCGAAAGGGTGCAGAGCAAACACAGCAGATGGAAACACGTCTTCTTCCCCGGTTGCAGAGACCAAGGTACCCTGCTGCTGCGCACCTTCACCAACGCCGTCCGCTTGTCGTTGCATTCCAGCCACATCACCACGCTGCCGGCTGACATCTCCATGCCCAAGCTGCAGGTCATGCTGGTCAGCGACAACCCCATCGACAGATTCCCCCGTTCTGGGTTCAAGGACGTCACCGCTCTGCGCGTTCTCGACATCGAGAACTGCTTCCAACTCAGGGCTCTGCCCAGCTGTCTGGGAAAGCTGCGACACCTCAAGGTTCTGAATCTGCGCTGCTGCTCCAGCTTGGAAGCCTTGCCGTCTGGCATTGGAGGTCTGAGGGAGCTGGAAGTCCTCGATTGCTCTCACTGCGCCGACCTACGCCTCGTCCCCGACTCCATAGCCAAATGCTCCAGCCTTCGCACGCTCCATTTCGACGGATGCTGCTCTTTGAGAACCATGCCTCTAGCTCTCTCGCTACTGCCAGAGCTGCAGATCCTCGACCTCAGAAACTGCACCCAGCTGGAACGATTCGCGACCCAGAGCGATGCAGGCGCGCCCAGCTCGCCTGCGCCGGCAGGACATGGCATGTTTGCTTCGCTCGTAGAGCTGGACATGACTGGGTGTGTCGACCTGCACGTATTCCCCGACTATGGCGATGGCTCGTTTCCGAAGCTGAAAAGCCTGAGGTTCCGCTGCTGCGTCAAGCTCCAGTGCTTGCCCAAGTCCCTCCGGTTTTGTAAGGAATTGGTGGCGCTGGACGTCTCGCATTGCCTAAGTCTGTACATAGTGCCCATCGAGCTGGACTACAGTCGGCCAGACAGTTTCCCCAACCTGTCAATCATCAACGACGAAGGGCTGCGCGCCTCCGTACGGACTCTCTTTGCACGCATCTTGAGGAAGAATGCATGCCCCGATGCCTACCTGTATTAGGCTATTAGCTGCTGGTTGCAACCCCTTTTCCTTTTAGCGACAGTAGAATGTGGACTTCAACTTCCCATACCCTAGGATGCTTTTCAATTTGATTCCTTATCCCCTTATCCTTTTACTAGCTAGGATGCTTTTCCATTTTCTTCCTTATCCCTTTATCCCTTTACCAGCAGAATGGTTAAACCACCGCCTGCTATGATATCACCCATGTGGGTGGAAAACGAAAATTTAGTCTAGTGCGTGTACATGACATCCCTATACGAGTTATGACCACGTAGCGCAGAGAGAGAGAGAGAGAGAGAGAGAGAGAGAGAGGTTGTAAAGGCGGAGAGACCAGTGATGTTATGACGGTAGTAGGAAGGAAAGGACACAAAATTGCCAGGCAATGCCAACATATGCCGAACTGGCATGAGTCAGTTAGTCAAAGTTCATTTCATATTAATTGCGGGGGTGATATTTTATTTTTCTCTTTAAGATTCAGATATCTTGGACAGCGAACCCGGCAGTAGCTCGTAGTATGAGCTTCGGAGTAGGATAGGGACGGTTACCCCTTTAGTTGAGAACAGCGCGGCATTTTTTTTTGTTTTTTTACTAGTTGCGCTCCTTTCTTCAAGTGCATCCAGGGCTTGAGTGTAAACAGCAGGTTTACCCTTCGCAGCAGTAAACTCAGAGAGGGGGGAGGAGAGAAGAGCAGAGCAGAGCAGAGGAGACCGTCCTGGACTGTAGTGGTAGATGAAGGGCACACGAACCGGAGTGTGCGGCCTGATAGCATTGAGAGAAACTGTGTGTGATGGGTGTGAGAAGTGGAGCCGATATAAGACCTCTCTCTCCTTGGGATGACAAGGGGATTGATTGCGTACCCCATCCTCTCAACTTGGCTAGAATGGTTCTATCGATCGTGGATGCCCATATACAATCAAAGCAGTTGCGTGCATGCTGCCGCGATTCTCCGGAAGTAGCGGGGAGTTGCCCTGCGGCACATCCATCCAGGCAAAACAGGTCGCATGCAAGGCCCGTTTTGCCTGCCAGTGGATGGATGTCAGCGAAATTGCACTCCGGTACTTCCCGAGCGTCGCGGCAGCTTGCACGCCGTGACTTTGATTTTCTAGCTGGGAAACGTAGTGGTGGTTTAATAGATGAGACAGAATCGACGGCTGAGGTGAAAGGTACCGTCCTTGAAGTGGCTCGGTCGCTTTTACTATGGCGCTGATTGTTGTGCTATTTATGGCACCTGAAGATGCTGTTCCAGCCTTCCAGGGGAAGTAAATTAGGAATTATACTGCCTAGAATTAGTGATGGTGGAATAGGAATTTTCGGCAGCAGAACCTAAGTGAGTTATAGCAATAGCTTATAATGATCCGTGAGTCGTTCCCCTACACTGACTCGTTGAAGGACTTCCGAAAAAGGCATTATGATAGTCGTAGATGTCTGTGTTTCTCTGCAGGGTGGGCTCAACACAGTCCTTCTACACACAAGGTAGTGCTTACATAAAGTTACATTGAGGCAACGTAGTGCTTGATTTCGGGCAAGGTAAGGTTTCTCTTCGGGGAAGGTTTTATAGGGTCTTGCTTCCTGCAAAGAATGGCTTTGCTTTGGACAAGGGGAAATTTTGCTTTGGCCAAGGCAAGGCAAGGCAAGCTTTTGTTTCGGGCAAGTTAAGGTTTTGTTTCTCTGCAGGCTGGGCTCAAGATAGTCCTACACTCAAGGTAGTGCTTCGATTCAGGCAGCGTAGCGCTTAAAGTTTGTTAAAGTGTGTTTCGGGGAAGGTAGGGTTTCTCTTCGGGCAAGGTGGGGTCTTGCTTCGGGCAAAGAAGGGATTTGCTTTGGAGTCTGGAAAGTGGGAGATTTTGCTTTCGGCAAGGTCAGGTTTTGTTTCAGGCAAGGCAAGGCTTTGCTTCTGGTTAGGTAGTACGGTTTTGGCTTCGTGCAAGGTAGGGTTTTACTTTGGGCCGCGTTTGCCACTTGCTTTGCCGGCAGTGCGCAGGATCTGGATATGATGGTGAGTACTGTCTGCCAGCATGTGTCGACCGCAGCCGGCTCAGCCTGCAGTTCGAGTGGTCAATGCTTTGGCCAGAAGCAGCAGAAGCAGGAGCACAAGCGGCAGCAGCAGGAACAGCGGCAGAAGGTGTTGCTAGTAACTTGCTACCATGCTGCCTGCATGGAGTCATGGGCCCGTGCTGCTGGTCTATGCTCTCCCGTCTTGAAGTCTTCTTCTATTTCTTTTTCAATCTCTTTTTCTTGGTTTTCTTCTCTTTCTTGGTCGTTAATCACGATTTCGATTTATTTTTCTTAGTGTTTTTATTTTTCTGGTTGATAGCGACAATCCATCACTGTTGTCCTTCGCTCAGATACATTGCCGTCCAGGGCGAGGTCCCCTTTGCTCAGATGCTGTCTTTTTCGAGTCTACATTGCGAGGAATAGCTGAAGGTCGCCGGCAGCACAGGACGGGTCCAGCAAAGTGGACCATTGTGCCAACACTGCCAACAGTGCCAAGCTAGCGCAGAAAAGCAGCTGTTCAATTGCTGACGCTTAAGTTATGGCTAGTTAATAATGGTGCATATTCGAATCTTCGACTGCCTGTCGATGGAATTGACGTCTAAGACACCCCAAGTATAGTACGCATGTTGTAGCATACTTCATATAGCACAATGCACAACGTACTTCACTACCTCACTACTACAGTGCAATATGCTGCACTATAGTGACTGCAGCACACTTAGTTGCGTAGTTTTGCAGCTCCCCAGTTTAATAAGTGGGGGCAGGGGCCATACAGCCGCGTACTGAAACGTAGTACTCTCTCACTACCTCGTTCTCACTAAATCCAGCGGGAACTAATTTATGTCAGATAGACTCAAGAAAGCAAGTGAATTTTCAACCACGACTGTACCCGAACGAAGGGTGTTTACATACCTGCGATACCACATGTTAATCGCATCAGTGACCTAGAACAGCTCATTCCAGTTCAGCACTATACACTGTAACAGCAAGGTCCATTCACACTGAGAATCCAATTCTCCAACCGCTCTGGGCAGACCTTTCTGCTTGACCTTCTACCAGAAAATGCACCAGTTGGATCTCGCAGGTATCACCTTCTGCAGCGGCAGCAGCGCACTGCAGTGTGATCCAGTGCCTAGTGTACCACAGCAATCATATAATAGCAATCCACAGCTTACTATAACACAATAGATGGTACAGTACAGTACTACACTATACACAATACTACTATAGTCATAATACCACTATAGCATGCTAACGCAAAAAGCATTGTCATACATTGTACTGCCATAGGATCATGAACTAATATGCTATGCACTAGTATGCTGCTATAGGACAGAGAACGTCCCAGTGTTGATTGGTCTATACTGCACATGCAGCATCGATTCTATAGAAGTTCAGAGCAGAACATGTACTGTCCTCACTATCTGTACAAAACAATAATGGCTGAAAAATTTTCAGTGCCTTAGCAACAGTTCGCTCCACAAAATTAAATAGATCTTCTCATCCGGGCTCGACATATTTAATGTCTACATCTTAATTTGCCAGCGGGATAAGGCTTTGCTACGGAGGTTTCATAACTTTCATTGCCTTTGGCATAACAGATAACCTTTGTAGCCTAGATCTAACTGTCAGCTCCAGTCTGTTATACCTTATAGCAGTTACAATTTCCCAGCCGTCCCAGATGGCATCCTCCGTCTGAGTCGGCGGGCTCTTTTTGCTCTGTTCAACCAATCTTTTTGGTCACATTTGCACCTGCAAGCTCTCTCTCTCTCTCTCTCTCTCTCTCTCTCTCTCTCTCTCTCTCTCTCTCTCTCTCTCTCTGTGGATATATATATATATAATAGTCTTTATTGATCTATGGATCTATCTATCTATTGCTGTAAGGGTTGCTCTGCTCCTGTTTCTTTACTTTGTAGTTTGTCCACATCTATAGTCTTTATTGAACTGTGGATCTATCTATCTATTGCTGTAAGGGTTGCTCTGCTCCTGTTTCTTTACTTTGTAGTTTGTCCACATGTAGAGGCGAGCATGAGGTTTGTTCCAGCCTTAAAGTTTGGAGGTGTAAGCCCCAGGCCAGGCTTAATGGGAGGTCAGTGTGGCACCAGAGAGTCTGACCCTCCCATTTGCCGGCTAGCTTCAAAGTCTTCCCCATGAATCTGCTCAAACATGTGGTCAGCTACCTCCTCAGGTGCCAGGTTACCAGAGAACCCCTTTCCATCTCCCTCCCTTCTGTCCTGTGTTACCGTTTGCTGATTGAGCGCAGGATAGGAGCTCATTCCCGCACTCAAAGGCGCTTGAGCGGGATTAGTGCGGGCATGGGAATATTTTGTTTCGGGGCAAAAAATAAGACTAGTAAAAAATATACATGACATCTACAACATCCTATTTTTTATTTCATTTTTTGAAGTTCTTGCGAGGCTAAGCGCCTCGGAAAGCCCTACTGGGCCCTGTTTCAGCAAGAAAGGCCGCCGTAAGTGAAGGTGGGTCTGACAAGTGACGTGAGGCCTGTTTCAAGTTGTGTTTTGATGCGGCTGGGGGAAATTCAGGCAGTTGCGCAGCGTCAGTTCTTTGAGTGAGCCCAGACCCTGCCTGCCTTTTTCTAAATGTATCTGAGGCAGGCCCTGGGCCAGACAGGGGGCATGAACTGAACTCAGGCCGCTGGCAGTTGGACACGGTAACCACCCCAGGCGCTGTGGAAGATTTCCTGGGACAGGGGCCCAACCACTTGGGGCCTACCGGAAGCCTCCGTAAGGGAGGCCGAGGCCAGCCAGGCAGCCCACGGCTGTCGGCCACTTTCCATAAAGGAAAGGGCCTGGCCTATGTCTCACCCGTGGTCATGACCGCCGGCCTGCTGACCACATGCGGTCAGGATCAGGGCCACGGGGGCCAAAGTGCGGCCGCAAACCCCTGACAACTTTAGTTCCGAGGATAATAGGCGAAAAAACAATATATATATATGTAGGGTATATATATATCCTGATGAGTCGGTGAAACTCCGACGAAACAGTTTGTCACAGCCCCTCGTTTGTTGTCCTCTTCTCTCTCTCTGCCTACGGTTTTACCGGGCAGTTCTGTTTGTGACGATA